CCGCTCTCGGTTATCCGGCACGCCCGTTCGACGCTTTCGCAGCCGCGTCTCTAGACCTCGGCGACGGGGGCAGGGCGAAATAGATAAAAAAAAATTAAATATCAGTGGCCGATAAGGGAGGGAATTACGTCAAACAATGTATCGATTGGGTATATCTACTTTTTTGACCAACGGCTATGCTGTCGGGTGCCGACAGCATCTCGGCGGAATTGGGAGGGGGGCGATCGACCACCGTCGTCTCCTCGCCCAATAATGTCGCCCCTGAGCTTGGGTCTGAGCAGCGGCCCGCGAATTTCGGTCGGTTAACGCCGTCGATCACGATTCAGACCGTTATTGATCTATACAAAATGCCTAATCGAAATCCGACGTTTGGATTCCGTTCGTTTTCATTATCTGGACGTTCGCTTTTCCGCATTGATTCCCGTCCGTTTGAATTCAAACAAAAAAAAATTACCCCAATGCTGCGGCGCGAGCTATTGAAAATGACGTAAACGATTTCGTCTTTCGCCGTCCACCACGAATACTGGCGGACACTGATCGTTTACATTTTATTTCCCATCCCGTCAGTTGTATTCTTATACCGGAGTGTTAGCCTGGAGTTATCCGCGACGAATTTCATTACTTCGGACTTTTCCGAGGATTCGAAAACCAAGTTCACGTTTCCTATGTTTGTGTTTTCAAAAATTACATTTACGTTTCTATCCATGTTCACGCGCATCAATCAACTAATTATAATATAATATCGGTCAATGCGGTTGAACAAAACTAGAAATATCTAATCGAAATGTAATATTTTAATGGGCAATTTCGTTATCGTGTGTTACTGTATATTATATCGTAATCACGGGTACGGATGTTAATCGTGATTATTCAATGGTGAAATCGACGATTGAACGATTGGACGGCTCCGTAAAACACTCGAACTTCGATTAATAATAAATCGCGATTAGTGGCGTTTAAATAAATTGTGATTTTTTTTTTTTTTTTTTAGTACCCTCAACTGATATTGCCCGCCCCGCCGCCCAAATCGACGTCCTTGATCGCGGAACAATCGTCCACCGTGTCGTCGTCGTCTTCGGCGTCCTCGCCGACGTCCGCGTCGTCCGCGCCGTCCGCGCAGATCATCCAGGCCAGCCAACCGCAAATCATCGAAACCCGTCCGTTACGCAATCTCGACGATTTGAAAGGTCAGTGTCTGCAGTGTAAATCGCGCGACAGACATTACGGACCTCGTTCCGTTCGATTAGCCGCGCACAATTGTTGTGCGCCGCGATGACGACAACGGTATTTACTTATTTATTTATTTGTTCGTTTGTTTTTTTTTCCCCCGAATGTCTCCCGCAGTGAGCGATCTGAAAGCCGAACTGAAAAAACGGAACCTGCCCGTGTCCGGGCCGAAACCACAACTGATCGAAAGGCTGCGGTCGTTCGCCGAACACAATTCGGACTTTTCCAACGTCGTGTCGTCGTCGCCCGGCAGCCAATCGAATCCCAACAGTCCGCCGCGGTCGTCTTCGTCGCCGCCTCCTCCGCCGCCTCCGCCGCCGCCGCCGCCGTTACCATCGTCCGGGTCCCAAAACTCGCCCGAAGAAGACCGCATCATACGGGAACAGCAGAGGCGCATCGAACAGTTACAGAAACAACTGCTCAACTCGCAACGGCAGCTGCAGCAACAACAGCAGACCCGGGTACAAACATTCCAGGTACGTTTGCAGGGAGATTTAGCGCCGTTTAGAGTTCGCTTTGTCAAATCGGTTTTGCGTGTCTTTATATTATAGCCTCATCAGCCGGTCAACGCGAAAGCGAACTTGGCGGCCTTCCTGCAGCAGCAACAGTTGAACCAACAACAGAAGCAACAGAAACACGTGATATTGACCGCGACCACTAACAACAACGTTTCGACCAAGAACCACAACAACATCAACATCAACATCAACAACAACAACAACAACATCAACAACGGTCTAGAGACGTCCAAACGGCGGAGCAATACGATCGTGTTGGACAAGGAACAGGCGGCTTCGATTTTGAACCAGTTGGACAACAACGGTCAACGGTATTTTGAAAAAAATATTCTCGCACTAATATTTATTCGAATAATATTCATCGGGATTTCATTTTATTTGTTTGCAGGACGAATTCGCTGCCGAACTTTTTAGGCACTTTTGTTCAACCCAACCTGGCCGTGACCGCCGCCGCCACCACCACCACCACCACCACCGCCAACAACAACAGCAACAACAACAACAACAACATGATTACCATCAACAATAACAAGCCGACGATCACGGTTGTCCAGACCGCGGACGGGTTCCACAAGGTGGTGGACGACAACGGCGTCGACATTCCCATGGTCGTGGACGACGTGAAACTTCAGCAGCGCCAGATTCTCGTGAACAACCTGTCCGCTCGGCTGCAAGCGGACAGCGCGGACAATTCGTCGTCGGAGAGTTGTTACCCGGACATGGCGGAAAACGTGAGGATAAAAAAAGAGGGTGACGACGAGACGCCGTCGTCGCCGTTCATCGATATCAACAGTCTGCCAATGGTTTTCGACGATTCGAAACTGTTTCAAAACGTGAGTGTACACATAATATTAAAGTTACCGGAGAAAAGCGAAATCGTACCGAGACGCACGTCACGTTTCTCCGGAAATCCGCCAAACCCAATAGTTTCTGGTCCGTTCATTATGTTTAGGGTTTCCGTCTTTGTGTAACGATTACTGGAGCCTCGGGCCACGGCTGTTGTACACGCATGTTGTTTTTCTTACAAAATACGAATACGGTCATTTCATCATACAAGATTGTATAATAATAACGGTTCGTCAATTCCCTGCGATTCGTTCGAATTAACAATGATTTGAATTGTTTTCATTGCTACTGTACTGAATAATATAACTGCCCAATCGATTCGCCGATTTAAATGAAAAATAATTTTACGAATTTCAAAAAAAAAAAAAAACTCTTGGAATTTCACACGTAGTTGTTTCCCACGTGTCCCGTTACTAATTATTTTACCAAACGATTTTTGTAACGCCGGCTACAGTGTGTATGCCACGGTTAATGTTGTAAAATCGGTTAACGCCGTTTTAATTGTACATTAACCGATTTCGTGTTGTCAGTTTTTTAATAATCGGCGTGTATTAGCCTATAGACCAACTTATGGGTATGCGCGAAGTTTGTGTTTTTACTTTTGGGTTTCTTCTCGATATTTTCATTTTTAATCCAAATTCGGCGGTTTTTAAATTGTAATATTTCGCGTGTTTGTAATTCACTTGAAAGTCGAAACCCCTCGAAAAAAAAACAAAGTACAAATACCGACAACGTTCTCGCCTTTCGCGCACATTCGGTTCGTACCATACAATAAGAATAAATATAACGGTATCGACCGATTTTACAGCGTTTGCCGCGACAGTAAATGAATATAACGGATATCGTTTGTTTAGTTTTAAAAAAAAAAAAAAAAAAAAAGTTTGATTGAAAAACCGTATATTGAACCGAACGAAAGTGCTATTGCATTTGTCTGATTTGCGCGGGACACCGCGGTGTCGGCCGACAAACGCGCGCGCACTGTCGGCGATCTCTAATCGTCGACGAATTGCGTTATTGTTTTTTCGTTAATCGAACGGCGTGATTTTTTTGTTTTTTTTTTTTTTTCGTACGATCGCAGGACAATCTCTCGGATAACTGCAGGCACAACGTGTCCAAAAGTCAAATGATGGACGACGTGCTGGAGATATTGATTAGGAACGGCGAGCTGCCCGCCTCGGCCGCCCACGACCAGTCATCCGCGGGCGGCGGTGCCGGCCACCCGGCGGTGTCCGACTTCGACATACACATGGACGACCCGTTCGCCATGGACGTGGTGTGCAACGACGACCTGATGGACGTGGACACCGACTGGCTGGACTCGCTGGACCTGCCGCCGCCGTCGGCCGAACCGCTGGCCGACCTGTTCAGCGGCGAAGCGTCCGACAACGATTTCAAACTGCCCGCCAACATGGATTTCCTCTGGGACCGAATAGACTTCGCGACGTGAAAACCGCGCCGCGCGATATTTTAGCGTATACGTATATTATTTCTATTTCTCTCTCTCTCTCTCTCTCTTTGATTTCTTTTTTTTTTTTCCCCAAATCTACTCCCGATTCCGTCCCCGCGTCCCGGCGTCGCGGACAAACCGAGACGGATTTTCGGTTTCGTCGCGCGGTCTCCGCCCCGGCGCATCGTCGTCGGCGGTCGTTGCGCGGTGCCACGTTGCACCGCGACGGGCCGCGGTCGTTTTTCGATCATCCCGTCAACCCGTAGATGAAAACCGTCACCGTTATCATTGCAATATTATTATTACAATTATTATTAGTAATATTATTATGATCGTACACACATACATAATGCTCATATACTTTCGTATTACTATTGTCGTTGCAATGGTAAAGAAGGAAAAAAAAAAAAAAAACTAATAATAATAAAGAAATACCTGCAGGGTCGCGTGTACTTAAGGACAATTATTTATCTAGATAAATTATTATTATTATTATTATCATTATTATTATTATTATTATTTTTATTACTATATATATATACATACATACATACATACATATATAATTATATTATTACGAAAGAAATAATATGTTTCATTTTTGCTCAACAATTTTTTTTTTTTTTTTTTTTTTTTTTTTTTTTTTTTTTTTTTTATTGTTATTTTTCATTTTTTTTTTCATTTTTTAACGGAAACGAAATAACAATAGAAAAACCAAAACGAACAGACTAACCCCCATTGAATATTGTCCATTTTCTGTGGTTTACATTCCTTATAATTAAAAAACAAAACAAATAAACAAAAAAAAAAAAAACAAAAAAATAAAATAAAAATACCATCCCGGGCGTAACGCGCGTAAAACGTCACCCGCCGCAGCGCCACTCGAAAGTACGGCGGTCGGCGAACGGGGGGGGGGGGGGGTTTGGG